ATTCGACATGCTCCTCCGACAGACGTTTAACTTGCCCCAAATGGTAAGCTATCAGGATCAAGCGAGTGCCAACCCACGGCTCCGTCGCATGCAGTGCACGTGGAGAGAAGGCCAGGGGTTCACGAAGAGAAAGAATATACCCCGCAGGGCCATCTGCACTGAGCCTGGCATTGCCCTGAAGATCCTCAACAAAGAGCCCGCCCCCTTCCCAGCTAGAACACGGCAAAGCCAGATTCGTGGACTGCGGGTGGTTGTAACTGTCCCTATGGGCCGGCGTCGCTGTGTTGAGAGACAAGGTGCAAGTGCTAAAGCAAAGATTGCAATCCCACGTCGCAATGATACTCGAAAGCACTCGAGAGCACCAAGGAAATTGACGAACATTGCACATAACTCCCGCATGAGGACCTCTGTTCCATGCTCCAGTTGTGAAGCGCCTTGGAGGTGGATCCATGTTGTGATGCCCCTGTCGCCACCGCATATTAGAGTCACACGGAAGCTGCTGAACTAAACGAAGAAGCTGCGCCCAAGAGGCCTGGCCCTGTGCAATCAGTCCAAACGCCAGCGCTTCTGCCCTGTTAAGTTCCGGCACAGCTAGATCTCGAAAGGAAACGCCCCTGATGAGGTAGATGCGTTGCTGCAGTAGTGCATAGCGGGAGTCATCCTCGTAGCTGTTAAGTGGCAGGCTGCCTACCATGTAGATACCTTGATACACCGCTGATGTGGGTCCACCGACCTCAACGTAATCCTCGAGAACCTCAGAGGAGTCGGAAAGTGTGGATTCCGAGCCCTCAGCCGTTGTCGCCTCCATGGAGGCAAAGCTCTCCACCACTCACCGGATGTCCGAGAACAGCTGGAAACTAGCGGGCATCTCGAGCACAGGCTGACACACATGCTCAATGCAGCGCCTGTCAAAATCAATCACAGTCCGCCTGTCTTTCAAAGACGCATAAGCACAACCTAGCCGTTGAGGGACTTTTGCCGAGGGCTCTGCGCCAGAGCATGGACCAGGATCATAGCGTCGTCCCGCGCACCGAAAAGAGACCTCACCCACGGACCACAGCATCCCCAACAGCGAAGCGAAAGTAGCGCCAGGGTTTTTGCCATGACTTCCAGCGCTCTTGCGAGAGCTTGCTAGTCAGCTACTCCCTTGAGTGTCCTTGTGTCAGCCGCACTACACTCTTACAGATTGGCATCAAAGTCAAAAGAGGCAAAATTCGAAGTACCTGCTCTATCCACGTGCCGGCAATGCCGCCCCAGCATTCGCTCACCGTCACGAAGATGATGACAATCGCAGATCAAAGATCTAGGCTCTAAGAGCCCGGGCTCAGCCAGCAATGCAAGCCGCCACGGCGTTTGCCAGGGCGGATCGATTCTGCCTGTCCTCCTTAAGGGATGCCGCCAGCAAGTGAAGCACCGAACAATGCGTGAGCTTCCTCAAGCTCTCCCGCAGAGTCTCCGCCTGAGCGCCATGTTGTCCCGTTTGCAGAAGAAAGACCAAATTGGATCCCTGCATATTCTGCACGAGCTTTCTAGTCGGATGGAACCTGGCAAGGGCAAAACGATGCGGGATGAGCATCAGGATTGTGCCACCAGCTCAAGCAGCTCCGCTTGGCTTAGCGGTGGCCTTGTGGTGTCCACGATCTGCCGCTGCGTAGCCTGGTCCCACTTGACAAAGTGCCAAACCACGGGCGGGCCCCGAACCACCCACCCCATAGACTCCATCTCCTTCATTTGGTCCTCTTGCTCCACAACCGACAACATTCGCTCCCGAAGTTCAGCGAAGAAGCAAACCAAGAGAGCACACCGCATCGGTCGATCGAGTCGTTGCGGCTCTTCATCCTTGACCTTTTTCCACGCGGCTGCTGCTGCAAAGAGCATAGATACGACACTGGAGGGCACATTCATCTTGAGGTTGACGACAAAGCTTGACTCAATCCGAGTCAAGACCGAGGCATCCTCCAGTCGGAGAGCCAACCTCTGAACCAAACCCATAGCATACTGAAGGTCTCGGACCTCTTGCGCCAAGCCATCTCCACCGCCACCGTCGCCGCCTCCGCCGCCGTAGCCGCCGGAGCCCCAACCAGCGCGCCAGCCTTGGCCTCCGCGATGCCAGGTATTGTCATCACGCCCATCCGCGCGCGCGCCCGAGCGCTGCCACTGCGGCTGCTGTTGCGGTCTTGACGGACTCCCGCCACTGCCTTGAGCGGCACCTGGAGCGGAGCGCCCAGCCGGCGCGCCACCACGGCCCGTTGCGGCCGCACCACCCCGACCACCGGCGGGACCTTTTCCACCCCCTTGTCCCTTATTAAGGGTATGGCGAGCCATCTTGGCCTCACGTTGATCTGCTAACACCTCCGGCGCATCAGGAGCAGTCGTGGAGCCTTCGGAGACAGGAGGCGGGGGCTGGTTTGACGGCCAAAACTTGGTGTAGAAATCCCATTCCTGAGAGCCCTCCATATACTGGTCCACATCTATGCGCTGCGGCTCATCCCCCATGTTCAATTGTCAAGGCGCACCGGAGCCGCACTGGGCAGCTCAGGAGCACATGGAGCAGCGTCTTCTTCTGCCGGGATGAGCCAAAAGAGATACGCAAGGCGACTACGCTCAACCGACCAGGCAGTGCAAGTGGCACAAGTGTGATCATCTGTGTGCAACCAGTCCGCGTCCGATAGTCTGAGCACGGAACGATAATGACCTTCAGTGACCCTGTCACCGTGGTGCTCAACCACTGCAACTACCTCAAAGCGGCGCCACACCACACCCACTCCGCTGTCAAAGTACGGCACCTGCACATAGCGATCCGAGGAGATGGCCGTGTAATCTTTGCCGTCAGGGCCACTGCGAGGGATCTGAAACACCAAAAAGACACCATTGGGCTGATCAATCAGGGCATGCACATAGGCCTGCTCGTGCCACGCATTGATGCAGAGCTGCAGGGAGGCAGCTCCTGGAACCAGCGGTACTACTACTACTACTACTACTACTACTCCTACTCCTACTCCTACTCCTACTCCTACTCCTACTCCTACTCCTACCCCTACTCCTACTCCTACTCCTCCT